GTTACATCCCTGTACTCATCCTAGTCTTACAAGGTAACTACTATTATTCACATTCTGTGAATAGGAAAACCAAGGCCTTAAACATTTAAGGAACTTGAATCAAGTTGCACAATTAGTGAGTGTTGGAACCCAGACTCAAATCATGACAAAGTAACTCTGAAACGTTTTCTTTTACAGCCTATGTTAGGTTCCCTCCTAAGAATTGAACTTTATGTTATCAATATTCTCCCTTTCCTTAGTTGATATGCAAATGAGGACTTTTTTGTTGTTTTTCTTCAGTTTTGTTTATTTCTTCTCTTCTACCATCTTTCAGTAAAAAGCATTTATTTAGCACTATATTTGTTGGCTTCTTTGTCTCTTAGTTTAACCTTTAGTGTGATGTGGTTATTACAGTGGACACTTTGGTTTAGGCTGTGAGTGGATTTCCTGGGTTTAACTTAAGTTTTTGTCTTTTTTGTTTGTTTGTTTGTCTGTTTTGACAGAGTCTTGCTCTGTTGCCCAGGCTGGGGTGCAATGGCACACTCTTGGCTCACTGCAGCCTCCGCCCCGCAGGTTCAGGTGATTCTCCTGCCTCTGCCTCCTGAGTAGTTGGGATTACAGGAGTCCACCACCATGCCCAGCTAATTTTTACATTTTTAATAGAGACAGGGTTTCGCCATGTTGATCAGGCTGGTTTCGAACTCCTTACTTTTAGGTGATCTACGTGCATCGGCCTCCCAAATTGCTGGGATTATAGGTGTGAGCCACTGTGCCCGGCCAATTTTTTATCTTTATTCATGCAAAGATCTGTTTCCCTATCAGTCAGACCTGAAGCTAATTTATGGTGTTTTTTCAGGGCTTACTCACTACATTTATCAGCCTATAAACCAAACTCTGCAAAATTATTTGGTCATTAGCTCACAGAAGCTCCTGCCTATTTAAAACATTTAAAGTATGCTGAGTGCCTGAAACTTCTGGAAGGATTACCAGCAGCCTTATACTAGTTTCCAGGATCCCTTGGCAGCCTCAAGGATAGCCTCATAAAATAGACTGAAAAAATTTGCTCCCATTACACAATTTTCTACAAAAGAAAGTTTATGACTATAGATAAAAATATGTCTAATAGCAAGTAAAGTAGATTCCCTGAGTAATAACTTCCTAATTAAAAAAGAACAACAAATAACAAACCAAAGCAAAAACAAAAACTTTTTTCTTTTTAACAACATAGTGACAAAGCCCTAAACTTTATCTAGATTTATTTCTTATATTTAAAATCAATTTTTTTTTTTTTTTTTTTTTTTGAGATGGAGCTTCTCTCTTGTTGCCCAGGCTGGAGTACAGTGGTGCGATCTCTGTTCATTGCAGCCTCTGCCTCTTAGGTTCAAGCCATTCTGCTGCTTCAGCCTGCTGAGTAGATGGGATTACAGGCACACACCACCATGCCCGGCTAATTTTTGTATTTTTAGTAGAGACAGGGTTTCAGTATGTTGGCCAGGCTGGTCTCCAACTTCTGACCTCAGATGATCCGCCCGTCTTGGCTTCCCAGAGTTCTGGGATTACAGGCATGAGCCACTGTGCCCAGCCTTAAAATCAATTTTTAATAAAGATAGGAAATATGGTACACATTTTCAACTAAAAATACTATAATATAGACAATCTTGCTGATACCATTACTTAATGTTTTTGAAACAATTAGGAAAAGGGTAATAGTATTGGATAGAAAAGGCTGTAGTTGAGACAAGTTGCTCATGCACTACATTGGCTTGGCAAGCCAGGGATATTGAAGAACTTGGATTTTCTGACTGTTTGAGAAACAGAACAGTATTTGCAAATAAGTAGGGGTTTCCTGGAATAGAAACATAATGCAGATGCTGATTCTCTTAAATAAACCTGGGCCACCAACTGTGCTTATGTTGATTAGTATTCTGTGTTTAAAGTACCATTTTTCTGCTCAGTTTTCTTCTCTTAAGAGGAATATTGAAATACAATATACAAGATTATTATTTTATAAGTGCCAGGGGATTAGATCTCTGTGAATGATAAAGTTTAGCCTGTTTTCAAGGCTTAGGTGTTTTCAAGATGTAGATAAAATTTAAAAACTTAAAAAAATAAGGAGAGTCTGTTTCGTAATTAGATAAGAAGTTTAAACAGCAACTTAGTTTTTCACATGAAATGGTATAGTTAGAATTCTTTCAGTGCTAATGTCTTAATATATAGTGCTACCAGGCTATGAAATCAGGATAATTTGAATACTACTTGAAGTGGCAATAATATGTAATTTTGACTTTTTATCATAACTAAAGTTTAAATTAAATTCTCAATAACCTCAGCTGTTAGGCTCTTATTAGGAAATGACTTAGCTTAGACATTTTAATATTTAATTAATACTGAGTGATTTCAGATTTTATATTATAATAATATTCTTCATCTTTTCTTAAACAATATTTTAAATTCTTTATCTTGCTTAAGCTTCACAATATTTTGTGAGATTGATGGGACAGGAAATATGTTAAAAACAAATGAAGCACTGAAAAGCAAGATACCTATCTAAGGTCATCTCTTTATTTGATGACAGAGCCAGGCATGGTGCTGTTTACATCTTCCAGGATCATTTATGTATAAGGTACTCCTTATAAACTTGGGGATGGCTGTGTAGTGACCATCAATGTTATATGTACTTCTCCATGGAATTATTTTCTACGATAAACTGAAAGGATCTACCCTATCTTAAGACTGAATACAGGAAATTTGATAGCTTGAATTGTTTCATATCTCAAATTTAGAAAAGAATGTACACAGTAACAGGAAATAAGTATGGGACAATAATTCCTTTATTATCAGGTTTAGAGGCTGATTTCCAATATTTAGCTATCATTTTTATAGAAAATTAAAGTGGAAATGAAACAAAGTAGATAATAACATGTTACTTTTTCTAAGAAAAAAACACCCAAATGTCATGTATTCTTTGGATTTACATATATCTCTCCATTTTATATGTGTGTATATATATATATATATTCTGAATAAATGTAAATGTAATTTTTTTCTAGTTACTAAAATAAAATCTGTTACAATAATTATTTTGTAACTGGCACTTTATGTGAATTTTGAATTTGTTGCTAGTTTAGGTTGGTTATAACAGGCGACAGAATTTCTGTTGCTTTATGGTGCTGTCAGCTGCTGTTAATTTAAAGAGCTTGTGCTCATCAAATTATACTTTGGGCCGGGCGCGGTGGCTCACGCCTGTAATCCCAGCACTTTGGGAGGCCGAGGCGGGCGGATCACAAGGTCAGGAGATCGAGACCACGGTGAAACCCCGTCTCTACTAAAAATACAAAAAATTAGCCGGGCGCGGTTGTGGGCGCCTGTAGTCCCAGCTACTCGGGAGGCTGAGGCAGGAGAATGGCGTGAACCCGGGAGGCGGAGCTTGCAGTGAGCCGAGATCGCGCCACTGCACTCCAGCCTGGGCTGGGCGACAGAGCGAGACTCCGTCTCAAAAAAAAAAAAAAAAAAAAAAAAAAAATTATACTTTGATGTTTTTATTCTGAGACACACGTTTATGAAATATTTCAAGTGTCTTTGTATTTAATACTGTTCACCCCAAATAGCTCTGTCAAAACTTCATCACTTATCTTATTCACATCAATAAGTTTATATTTTACTTGATATTATTTGAAATGTAACAAATGGTATCAGATTATGTTTTGTCTGATTTACTTACTTTATAGATAAAAGTTGGTTAACCAGGTAGTTAAACAAATGTAGTAGTATAAATAAAATGCTCAATGTAGTATAAATAAAACAAATATGTGTAAGGTATTCATTCTACACTTACCTTGGAAAATGTCTCTTAATAATTATGTGTCTATCTTTGTTATAGCCGTTAGAATTCTTGCTCTGATTATTTTAAATCATTTATATTAATATGTTTTTCCTCTGATAAATTGGATGCATGCTATCTATTCTAAATACACATTTATTGTAGATACTTTCTATGCAGATCAGCTGGGATTTTGGAGGCTATGTAATTATTAATCATGTCTTGTAATTGCTTTACTTAAGAATATGAGAACAATTTTTGTTATTTTATATGTTTATTTTATTTTATTTTTATGTATGTATGTATTATTTTTTTTGAGACAGAGTTTCGCTCTTGTCACCCAGACTGGAGTGCAGTGGTGCAGTCTCGGCTCACTGCAACCTCCACCTCCCAGGTTCAAGTGATTCTCCTGCCTCAGCCTCCCAAGTAGCTGGGAATACAGGCATGTGCCACCATGCCTGGCTAATTTTTGTATTTTTAGTACAGACATGGTTTTACCATGTTGGCCAGACTGGTCTCAAACTCCTGACCTCAGGTGATCCACCTGCCTCGATCTCCCAAAGTGCTGGGATTACAGGTGTGAGCCACCATGCCCAGCTCTGTTTTATGTTTTGATAATTATCTGTTCTGCAAGATGCTTTATAAGTATGATTCTACGTAATCCTCATAACAAATGAGGTTTAGGTTTGGCATTTCTATCCACATTATACATGTGAGGAAACTGTGGCTTAGAAAGTCTTCTATTCCTAGGAGGTGTATGGACCTAGACGTGTCTGTCTAAAAAGGCCAGATCTTAGATGCTATAATATAATATATCCTAGGATGATTTCTATTTCAGTATTATTGGCTAGTCAGAAGTACTGAATTAGAGTAAACTCAGAATTGCACTGTTTGACAACCTAGTGCTATAAAGAATATCATGATATGACTTTAAGGTCATTACAATACAACTTAAAGGAATCAAATAGTTTGTCAAGGGCCTAGCAGAGTAGTGGCAGATCTAGTATTAGGTATTAAAATGTTAGCCAACTAGCTTGCTAGCAACTTTCATTTATTTAGGCTTTTAATTTTGGATTCGAAGGCTTGAGTGCTGATATATTTGAGAGCACTAAGTAAGTCCTACATTTCATGTTATATGTTCTTTATCCAAAAATCTATGTGTACAATTAATGAAATTTTCTTCTTTTTTTTTTTAATACAGTGGAATGTATGCTGCTTTTATCTTGGAGTTCACCTGTGTGGCTTGGATTTATCACAGTAGCATTTGTCTTCAATCTGTGTGTTAACTAGAAATCAAGGAAAGACATGAGGAGATTTGTTTACTGCAAGGTGGTTCTAGCCACTTCATTGATGTGGGTTCTTGTTGATGTCTTCTTACTGCTGTACTTCAGTGAATGTAACAAATGTGATGATAAGAAGGAGAGATCTCTGCTGCCTGCATTGAGGGGTAAGTGCTTATGAAGCAAATATTTTTATAGAGATGCCTTGACAAAATAAGAAACTTCAGAATCAGAAGAGTTTTGCCTTAGTGAGTTAGAAGAGCATTTTGGCAGCACTATTAATGCATGTTTAACCATGGGGAAGTTACTTTACTTTTCTTGGTCTTAGGTGTCTTCTTGGAAGAAATAAGAACAGTTAGCTAACCTCTAAGATAGTGTTGAACCTAATAAATTCTGGTGTTCTATGACTGTATGAAAAGAACAGTTTAGTGAACATTCAAACTGGGCAGAATTTTAAATCTAGGCTCCTAGAAGCCAAAAGCCTTTAAAGACCAAGCACATAACATAAAACGGAAAAACCACTAAAGTGAGACAGGTGGCGATTTTAGCAAACGAACTGTGCATGAATGACACCACTAAAGACTTCCAAAACAGTTGAAATAAAACAACCAGTTTTTAAAACAAAACACATGGTGGTATGCAGATTTACCAGATTGCAGGCTGTATGTTAAGTGAAAAAGATAATTTCAAGTATACTATAAAATTACTTTAATTCAGTATTTTCCTCTTGAGGGACCAGTTTCAAAGACTAAATATGAATGTAAACATAATAATTTGTATGAATGGTTATTTATCAAGTAAAGCCACAGAAATTTGTTTTCTGTGAAGTTATTCCAAATGATTTTCTCTATGCTTTCTTTTTTGTTGACTTCAAGATCTATAAATATGTTTCTGAAGTATTCCTAGAAAATTCAATACTTCTAAAATATGTAAGAGTACTCAAAATTAGTTTTGTTCTCATTGAACGAACATATTCTCTGTTTGGCAAAAGTTTTATGCATAAATATGACAAAAAGCAAGCTTCAATTGAAGTTTGATGAAATGTTTGTACCTTTTGGAAAAGTGAATCTAAATTATCAAGTTGAGATTTACATTTATTTAATGAATGTGATCTGCTTTTAATGTTATAGATATTTTTGAGATATTTATTGAACAAAATATTTTAATAAGCAGAATTTCATTAACACTCTCAGGTTATATGAAGTTTAGGGAAACAGAAGAGCTTTTCCAAAATTTAATTTTTGTTCAAAGAGTATTTTAGATATGTTGAGTTTGCTTTAGATTACAAAAATACCCTTGTTCATTTAGGGAAATCCTGAATCGCTTCCTTGTCTTTTAAAATGGAGCTTTCATTTTAGATTTTGACCAATATAAATAATTAAAAAAATTTTGGGAGTGACTGATGCTAGACCCATTTAGGTAGTTTACATGCATTTTTTATGCCTTTATACTACAGTTATTCTGAGAGGGGAACATTGTAAGTCCGTGTTTTTGACAAATTAACAGGGGGAATGATTTGCTGATCTTTAGTTAAAACCCCAGAATTAATCAGCCTTTTCAGCTTCTTTGTCAAAATCACTTGAGTTGCTGCTTGGCTGAATGCAGAAAAGTGTTTTTGATGGATTACATCAGTTTGGAATGATCACTCTGTCATTTGTTGAAGGAAACCATCTAGGTTGGTCACACACACACAAAAATGTTACAATCTGATTCAGCAAAACTTTGATAGGCTTTTCTACAAGTAACAAAAAGGTACAGTTTTGCTGATTTATGTCCTTAATGCTCCTTAAGTCTTAAATCTCAAAATGTGAAATTTAACAATGCAAGGCAAAAATAACTTTTCCTTGTACTTAAATTGTAATTAAACTGTTGTTCTCTTTGTTTATAAGACTTGTTGTTTTACTTAATTCAGGTTGTTAAAAAAATATAGACTTGGTGGCTAACAAAGAGCAGATATTTATTTCTTACAATTTTGTAGACTGGGGATTCCAAGATGAAGGTGCTAGCAGATGCAATTTCTGATAAGGGCCTGTTCCTTATAAACAGCTGTCTTCTCACTAACCTCACTAGGCAGAATAGTTGAGAAATCTCTCTGGGGCATATTTTGTAAGGGCACTAATCGCATTCGTGAAGGTTCCACCTTCATGACTTAATCACCCCCCAAAGGCCCTGTCTCCTAATATCACTTTGAGGTTAGGATTTCAGTATATGAATTTTGCAGAGACACAAACATTCAGTACATTGTACTACTTTCAAGTTTTATATTAATACTATTTGTCTTGAATAAATGGAAAATAGACTTAAGGGTTTTAATTTCATTTTCAATTGTCACTTATTTCAGAATTTTACTTTAGGAATTTGTATCTTGTTTTCAAAATATTTTATTTGTAAGCAGATGATGCTATGCAAAATGTACCTAACTGAATTTTTCGTGTTTTAGGTCTGCTAAAAACAGGCTTTTTTACTTATAAAAAGATCCTTCTGAACCTGTGCATGTCCATTATTAAAGCAAAGGTTTTGGAGTAGACAGTTTCTGATATCACTTATATGTCTAAATTTTAAACAATTCATAAGGACCCAATATTAGCATACACTATTAGTTAATTTTTGAGATATTTTCATTCATTCCTTTATTCATCAATTAACTAATTATTTATTAAGTTCTTACTGTATGCAAATCCTGGGGATATAACTGAGGTCCCTGACATTTGGGACATAAGGGAACAAGGCTCCCACCTGTCATGGAGCTTAAAGTCAAATATATAGTAAACATTTTTCTCTTTCTATATGTATTTTTGTGACTGTGTGTGTGTGTGTGTGTGTGTAATCATGTGACATATAATGATTTTTTGGTCAACAACTGACTACATATATGATGGTGATCCCATAATATTTTAGTAATGATCACCGACATTGAGTTAGTTTTTTTCCACATGATTTTTGGCCACATGTGTATCTTCTTTTGAGGAGTGTCTGTTCATGTCTTTTGCCCACTTTTTAGTGTTTTTTTTTTTCTTGTAAATTTGTTTTAAGTTCCTTATAGATGCAGGATATTAGACCTTTGTCAGATGCATAGAGTGCAAAAATTTTCTCCCATTCTGTAGGTTGTCTGTTTACTCTGTTGTTAGTTTCTTTTGCTGTGCAGAAGCTTTTTAGTTTAATTAGATCACATTTGTCAATTTTTGCTTTTGTTGCAATTGCTTTTGGTGTCTTCATCATGAAATCTTTGTCTGTGTCCATGTCCTGAATGGTATTGCCTAGGTTGTCTTCCAGGGTTATTATAGTTTTGGGTTTTACTATATTCAAGTCTTTAATCCATCTTGAGTTAATTTTCTATATAACGTAAGGAAGGTGTCCAGTTTCCATATTCTGCATATGGCTAGCCAGTTCTCCCAGCACCATTTATTGAATAGGGAATCCTTTCCCAATTGCCTATTTTGGTCAGGTTTGTCAAATATAAGATAATTGTAGGTGTGCAGTCTTATTTCTGGGTTCTGTATTCTGTTCCATCGGTCTATATGTCTGTTTTTGTACCAGTACCATGCTGTTTTGGTTACTGTAGCCCTGTAGTATAGTTTGGTGTCGAATAGCATGATGCCTCTAGCTTTGTTCTTTTTGCTTAGGATTGCTTTGGCTTTTGGGCTTTTTTTTTGGCTTCATATGAATTTTAAAATAGTCTTTTCTCTTTCTGTGAAGAATGTTAATGGCAATTTAATGGGACTAGAAAAAAGCTCAACATCACTGATTATTAGATAATTGCAAATCAGAACCACAATGAGATTCCATCTCATGCCAATCAGAATGGCTACTATTAAAAAGTCAAAAAACAACATATGCTGGCAAGGTTGTGCATAAAAAGGAACACTTATTTCCTGTTGGTGGGAGTGTAAATTAGTTCAGCCATTGTGGAAGACAGTGTGGTGATTGATTCATCAGAGACCTAAAGACAGAACTACTATTCAACCCAGCAATCCCATTAGTGTATAATACCCTAAGGAATAAAAATTGTTCTATTATAAAGAGACATTCATGCATATGTTCATTGCAACACTATTCATATTAGCAAAGACATGGAATCAACCTAAATGCCCATAAATGATAGGCTAGATAAAGAAAATGTGGTACATATATACCATGGAATACTATGTAGCCATAAAAAAGAATGAGATCATGTCCTTTGCAGGGACATGGATGGAGCTGGAGGCAATTAGCCTTAGCAAACTAATGCAGGAACAGAAAACCAAATAGCTCATGTTCTTATTTATAAGTGGGAGCTAAACAATAAGGACACATGGACATGTAGACAGGAACAACACACACTAGGGTTGAGGGCAGGAGGAGAGAGAAGATCAGGAAAAATAACTAATGAGTAATGAGTATTAGGCCTAAAACCTGGGTGATGAACAAATGTGTACAACAAACCCACATGACACATGTTTACTGATGGAACAAACTGAACTTAAAATAAAAGTTAAACAAATTATAACATTTTACTGTACCTTTTCTATGTTTGGATATGTTTAGATACACAAAAACTTACAATCGTGTTATAATTTCTGATAGTATTGAACGTAGTAACATGTTAAACGTGTTTGTAGCCTGGGAGCAATAGGCTATACCATACAGCCTAAGTGTGCTGTAGGCTGTACTATTTAGTCTTGTGTAAGTACATTCTATGATGTTTGCACAATGATGACATCATCTAGTGATGCTCTTCTCAGAACACTTCCCCATCATTATGCAACGAATGACTGAATATATATTCAACTAAAAAGGTAAAATAAGTTAGAAATGATTACAAAACATAATTGATATTGGGATCGGGAAGAAGAGGACACTGGATCTAGAGTATTGGATAACATTTCCCAAGCCAGGCATGGTGGTGTGTGCCTGTAATCCCAGGTACTCAGAGAGCTGAGGTGGGAGGATTGCTTGAGTTCAGGAGTTTGAGTCCAGGCTGGGCAATATAGTGAGACTTCATCTCAAAAAAGTGAAAAAAAAATGAACCTTCACAAAGGCTGTAACATTAAAATTTAGGTTTACAGCATAAGAGTAGGAAATAACTAGTAAAAAGCAAAAAAATACTAAAATTCTAATGGAATGATAAAGATTCCAGAAAGCCCAGGATACTTCTAAAGGGGAAAAATACAGAGTGGGGATGTGACAA